TAAATTACATGCAAATTATTTCCGTGACACGTGATAATTATTAATGGTAATGATAAATATTATTATTATTAATTATATTGAACTACTGCTCAATCCAACAACATACAAAACATAAACCTGCTACAAGCGTTTAGCTATAGAATGAAAGGGCGGGTGTTCGAGTCTCTGCAGTTAATATTAATTTCCCGCTGTTTTGTTTTTTCTATTTATATACATTTATCTCATTATCCATTTCAATATTCTTCCTACTAAACTCAAATATGTAGACGATTTATTTGCTACAAAATAAATGAATAACTGCATACAAAGACCATCTACTGCACTACTGTAACATTATTACAAAGTAGAGCTAACACATTGTGCTACATAACCGCGTTTGCTCATAACGGCCGCTAGTGGCCTACTCACCACGTTAGTGTAGTAAATCGGAACATATAATGTAGCACATAATGTATGATACAGGCGTGTTTGATACGCCTCCCAAGTCACTTTAAATTTAGTGAGACCTCCCTAAGGCGAAAGGACCGAGTTTTACACTATTCTCCTTCGTGTTGGTGTTCTATAACATGTTTAGTATTAGTTTTTTACCTGTTATTCCTTATTCCTGTTAACAGGTGCAAAAAATGGCAAGTAAATTTAAGAAGAGGCGACAAGCACTTCTTAACGCGCAAGGCATCTCAGCTGAACATGTACTACCGAATGTGCAGTTTACATTTTGAAGATAATCAATTCACAAATGTAAGTCTCCACATTCACTAATTACAGTATTAGTAGCAGAATTTAAATAATAAACAAGCCGAAGTGCCAGCTCAAGCGAATAAGTAACACTTATACACATACTAAACACCATTTTATTGTACACTATCTATACATGCATGTGTAGGAGGAAAAGAATCGTCTCAACTGGAATGCAGTTCCCACTCTATTCGATATCCCAAATCCACCGCCGCTAACAACACCTCTCCGGCATCCTCCTAAACGAGCCAAGGTCGATCCACTTCCTTCTGCATCTGTGGAGTCCCTTGTCCCAGTCCCTGATGAGGTAGAACATATCTACAGTTTCCACCCGTTGTGCTGTTATACATGGCTCATAGCCTATTGTTTTGAATTGGCAATATAATTATATACAGGCTTTTAAATAAATAAATATTATGAGGTGTGGATCGATGTACAATTATATAGCTTAAGTTATATTTATTGATACATATTACACGTTTTGTGTATAGGATATGTCAAGAAGTGCAAAGCAGGACAAGTCTTGCTGTAGTTGCAAAAAAGTGATTAGAGGACTGCAATCAAAAATATCGAAGTTACGTGCTAAAGTAAAGGAACTACGTAGGTGCTTTATATTTTCAATCATGTTAACAAACCTATGGCATAGCTTATGTATGCAGCTTGTTACAGGTAGAGATTAATAAAATTGATAAAGAACTAGAGTTGACTGCGACATGTGGGCAAATGTGACATGCTCGTTTAGTAAATTATAATGCACAATAATTTTAACAGTGTATTTAAGAGGTGAATTTCTCTCATTTAGGTCAGAGAAAATCGCACCCATCAACAGAAAATGTATTGCAACAGGCCAGTCAGTTTTTGTCAAAGGAGCAGGTAAGTGATATGTTAGCATATTAAACATAAATTCTGTTACTAGTATTTGTTTTTGTCATCCGCATTATTTTTTAATTATATAATTTTAATTATAGGTCACATTGCTGAAATGCCAAATTCTGAACTCAAAGTGCAGAAGGAAGATTGGAAGGTGGAATAAAGCTGTTAAGTTGTTGTGCCTCGGCATTTATTACCGAAGCCCTTCAGCGTACAGGGAGATAGCCAGATTGCTCCACTTGCCATCTCGGATTACCCTGTTCAGATTCCTTCGCAATATCGTTGGTACTTTTGAGGTATACCTTTTACACATTAAAATGTAATAATGTTAAGCAATCATTAAAATGTCAATTTTTGATTAAAATATGAATAGCTGTACCTTACTATTAAGAGATTTTGTGCAAAACAGCTACCTATTGGCAATGTAATTGTCAAGCCCATGACAGAATTTAAAACAACTGACAATTATACCCAGGTACGTAAACCTCCAATCACTTATCATTGTATTGCAGCCAGGAATCCTGTCCGGTGCATACGACAAAATATTGCAAGTGCGAGTTAGTCAGCTTGAAGAAAAGCATCGCAACTGCACGTTAGTTTTTGACGAAATGTCAATTAAAGAATTTGTACAGTACAACAGACACCGAGATCGTGTATCAGGATTGGCAGAAGATGGAACATGTGCTAAGCATGTCCTCGTATTCATGGCTAGAGGATTATGTTCGAACTGGAAGCAGGTAATCTATTGACTATTAATTGATTGTAAGTTGCATATGAAGATTGATTGCTATTTATCAGGATTTTTATTTTCTGTGCATCACCTCCCATGTTATATAAACAGATTATTTTTATTCTTGCTGCCAGGTGATTGGATTTCAATTTGTCGGCACAACAGTAAGATCGAAAAGTTTGCAGCGACACATACTGCTGTCAGTTAAAAAATTGGAAGCATTGGGATTGAAGGTATGTATTTACTACAAAAATTTCTTACATGCCTTAAATAACAAGATAATAAACATAGAAAGTTTATATACATAGAACCTATGTAACGTTTTATATTATGTTATTAAACTGCTCAATTGGAAAAGCTTTTTTTTGACAGGTGAGAGCAGTTGTGTGTGATCAGGGACCAACGAATCGTGCAGCACTATCATGCCTTGGCATGACAAAGAATAACCCTTCCATAGAGCTAAGTGGAAGGAATTATCTGGTGATATTCGACATCCCACACCTTTTCAAGAGTCTCCGGAACAACTTCCGGAAAAATCTCTTTGTTAAGGTATTTTATGATAATGTCAAATATATTTTTATATATCCGAATTCTTCAGCTATATTTCTTCCTGTTATAAAATTATTACTACAGCACCTTTATCTAAGGTTAAATGACCATATATATGCAATATAAAACAACACAATAAATGTATTAGGTCAATGGAAGAGTAGAGGCCAGCTGGCAAGACGTTGTAGAGTTCTACAACTTAGACAAGAGCCAGAGCCTGCGTCTTGCACCAAAGCTGACGGATGTGCACCTCAACCCTGGCCTGTTCAAGAAACAGAATGTGAGGATGGCCGTTCAGGTCTTGTCTCACACAGTGGCTGCAGGTACATATAAAGATCAGATGTGTCATATTATTACAATTAGTAATATATAACAGTGAATATTTTTCGAAATGTGCATTCACAAGAACATGCATGCATAACATGTACACACATGCATAATAAAACAAGCATATTATTGAATAACTTTCTATGAGACACTCCCTCTGGTTTCTGGTAGGGGACCTAAAATTGCCTAATATGAAGTTTTCTGATACAGGTCTTCATACATATGCATCTGTAGGCCTACTGGCAGCTACAGCCATGCAAACAAGTGCATTTCTTGAAAGAGTAGACAAACTCTTCGATATATTGAATTCCAGAACATTGCATGTGAATCGGAAAAGTTCCAAACCCCTCTCTTCTGTAACTTCAGAGGAGTTTAAGGTATTTGATGCATTTTTACTGTTTAAATGAAAATAATGGAAATAACTTATAGGAAATACTAAAATTAGGGTGCTAAATATTAGTTGGTAAAATGATATTAACAGACTTTTAGAAGTAGTGTTAATTTAAATACCTGTTACTAACAGTTTCTTGAGGAATCCATTTCCTGGACCAAGTCTTGGAGTTTTGGAAAGGTACTGCCATTCCAATGGGGCCTGGTCAACTCTATTCGTGCAGTTGTCAGACTAACCAGGGAGCTGCTGGATGAGGGTTTTACGATGGTTTTTACCAGTCGATTCAACCAGGACTGCATTGAGGCACGTAATTTCCCATTAATGGCGACATCCAATTCGAAATGGCTGCATGAACTTTGATACATATTTTTCAATAGAAATGTTTGGCTGTTATCAATAAACGGAAATGTAAATTAACTGTAGTGAGCTTAATAATACAAAATAAATTTTATGAGAACTTTATTTCATTTTTAAATGCACATTTTTTCAGAATCTCTTTTCAACTGTAAGGGCGAAGAGTGGCCATTCCTTCAACCCAACGGCTGAACAGGTTAGCAGTGCGTTAAAGAACATCATAGTACTGTCTAACATGGAGCCTCTATCAATCATGAAGAACTGCCAATCAGACGGGGCCGACTCGTTATTAACATCAAANAAGAAGAAGAAGAAGAAGCCCAGTTGTGAAACGATGCGGTAGACTTCATGAATAATCTGGTAAGTGCGGTGGTAAGAGTAATCTAAGTAAGATTGATCAAATGATAATGATTGTACTTCTAGTGATTTCTGGGAGAAAGCAGCAGTATGGCAATTTAGAAGATGGTAAAGTCAATGATTTTTAATTATAGTGCAGCGGACAATCTCTCATATCATAAGCATTGTGCAAATTATGACTAAAGCATGAAATTTCTACCAGTGTTAGTACATGCCATTAGCTTCATTTTCAGATCGGGAGGTAAGGCAGATTTGACCTCTGAGGACCGTGAGAGGTCAATGACCTAAAAGTATCAAAATATTGATGTTTGGCGTCATTGGTTAATGGTAAACATGTTTATGATGTACAAACCATGCATTTGTGTTCCAATAAGTGTCTACATATTCCACACAGCATTGGTAATTATTTACAGGTGTCTAGCTTTGACCTCCGAGGACCGTGAGAGGTCAATGACCTCAAAGTATCAAAATATTGATGTTTGGCATCATTGGTTAATGGTAAATATGTTTATGATGTACAAACCATGCATTTGTGTTCCAATAAAAGTGTCTACATATTCCACACAGCGTTGGTGATTATTTACAGGTGTCTAGCTTTGACCTCTGAGGACAGTGAGAGGTCAATGACCTCAACATATCAAATATTGATGCCAATGTATGTAAACTGTGGTGGCTGGTACTAACACAATTGTTGTATAACTTGTGTGTTGCAGGATTCCCTGCCTGATGATCAAAGCCAAGATACAAGCATCCCAGACCTGATCGTCACTATGGCAAAGCGTCATATCCTCATAGACCCAGCTCAGCCCTCTACGTCCAAGCAATCAAGACCACCTCCAAGAACTAACTGGGAGCTTTGTATTCTTTGCCAAGCAGAGACAGATGAACCTTTGCAGTGCTAAGATCAACCATGAAACCGAGTGGTAGTGGCTATGCATCATAGATAGAAGACCTCCTTCAGTTCAAGGGACTTCGGCACATGCCAATGGAACTCAACGTGAACAGACTGGATGATGGCGATGGTGTAGAAGCTACCTTGAGGACACACAGTGATCAGTGGCACAAGAAATGTCGTTTAAAGTTTAACAAAAAAATGTTTGACCAGCAGAGCAGAGCAGAATCAGCTTTAGGACAGCAATCTAGTACCGGTACTCCAATCGTGCACACACGATCAGCAGCTAGCCACCGCCGTCCACAGTCAACCGAGCCTATCTGTTTCTTTTGTAATAAGCCAGCTGGCACTGCAGACTTGCACGAAGCAGCTACAAAGGAAATTGACAAAAACGTTCGGAGATGAGCCACTGAATTGGGGGACACTGAACTGCTGGCCAAGCTGTCATCAGGAGACATGATTGCCATCGAGGCAAAATACCATCGCAACTGTCTCCGTGCATCATACAACAAAATGAGACCAGCCGCACTCAAGGACGAGGATGCGGATCGTCTGCATGGCATAGCCTTTGCTGAGCTGGTGGTATTCATGGAGGACATGCATGCAGATGAGGACAATTCCCTTGTATTTAAACTCTCAGACGTGGCTAACCTCTACATGAAGAGATTGGAGCAGCTGGGTGCCACGGTAACCAACAGAATACACACAACCAGACTGAAGGACAGACTTCTTTCTGTGCTTCCTGATCTGAGAGCCCATTCTCAGGGTCGAGACACACTTCTCTTGTTTGAGAAAGATATAGGTCCCGCCCTGAAGAAGGCCTGTGATCATGACAGTGATGCCATGCACCTAGTAAGAGCAGCACAGGTAGTACGTAGAGACATGTTTCAGACCAGGTTCACCTTTGACGGTGCGTTCCAAGCTGACTGCCAGAAAGATTCTGTGACACCATCCCTCCTTGCTCTGGTAAACATGATCCTCGACGGGGCGAACATCAAGCACCAGACTCAGTTGGCCAACACAAGCACCACAACGGCTGCTCTTACAGTATCGCAGCTACTGGCGTTCAACAGTGTAAAGCATGCACGCAGTGTGGAGCCAACCTCAGTGCGCCACAGCCGCGAGAGAGAAACCCCACTCCCACTCTACTTGTCCCTCAAGATTCACGCTGTGACCAGGAGCAGAGGTCTGATTGACACACTGTTCAGCCTAGGGATGTGTGTGTCATATGATAGATTACTACAGCTCACAGCAGACATTGCCAATGGTGTCTGCCAGCGCTTCAACATGGAAGAAGTTGTTTGCCCACCCAAGCTGCGCCAGGAACTGTTCACTACTGGGGCTGTCGATAATATTGATCATAACCCAGCTCTGCGACAGCCAAGGATTCTTTTCATGGCACAGGTATCTCCCTAATGCAACATCCATCACACACGAATGGCGAACTCAACCGTGGTGTAGTGGTGATTGGGCAAGACATCTCTTCCGCCAAGTCGGTAGCACCTCTGCCATCAGTGTACACAAGTGTGCCACCTGCTGCCAAAGACGAAGCACTTCACTGCACCGGCTGTACAACGTCCGGCAAGGCCTCACGACCTCCTGGCTGCTAAAGCTGCCGTGGAAGAAGAGAATGTGTGGCTGAGGACAGTGGAGACAGCTCTATAGAAGCAATCCATAGATGAATGGGTGTCATGGTCTGCCTACCATGCCGATGTCTAGCAAGCAGTGATCCCACCTGCCGCGATCAATGCACTGTTGCCTCTGTTCCTAGACAGCACACACTCGGTGGCAATGATAAGACATTCCATGACCATCGTCATGGCAGCTATTCAGCACCTGAACCCTGGACAAGTACCTGTACTTGCTGTTGATCAGCCACTCTTCGCCCTTGCCAAGGAAATACAGTGGACCTGGCCAGCCACACGTGGAGAGGATCACTTTGTGACCATGTTCGGCGGTCTGCATATCGAGATGAGTGTGTTGAAGGCAAGTTCCATGATATACAGTAATAGCCGGTGTAGTACCTATGAGATACCAGTACATGTAGTAGTAACAGCAACAATATTTCACCAATGTTCTGTGCATGTGTATCTGGCAACTGAAATAGTTGGCTGAGTGTTATGTACATTGTGTCAGGCAGAGGCTAGTGTCGTACAATCTGAACATCATTAACATAATTTGTGTTGTGTTTTAGCTGCTGGGAGACTGGTTGGAGGACAGCGGTTGGACGAACGCCCTGGTACAGGCCGACATTGCCAGCTCTGGAACAGCAGATTCCTTCATTCGAGCCAGCCATGTTACCAAGACCCGCCATGCACACCAAGTCACATCTGCAACCCTCCACACACTACTCCAGCAGGCATAGAGTAAAGACTGCACACCGGATGATGGCAACACCACACAGCCAGATAATCAGGTCTTTGCGGAGTGGTGCACACAGCGAGCAAAGGCCAGTGTGCACTTTGACTACTGGCTCAAGACCCTGTTACTGGAGGTTCTCTTGCTGCTGTACATCCGATCACTTCGTGAAGGGAACTTTGAGCTCTATGTAGAATCCCTGACACAGATCATGCCCTGGATGTTCGCCTTAGATCACACTCACTATTCCAAGTGGCTTTCTGTACACATCCGTGATATGATGAACCTCATTGACAAGCACCCAGATGTCCTAGCAGAATTCAAGTCTGGGAAGTTTGTGGTACACAAGACCAGCAACAAGTTCTATGCCATGGCAACTGACCAATGTCATGAACAGAACAACGCTGTGGTCAAAGGGTCTGGTGGAGCTATTGGACTAACAGGAAACCCTGGGGCACTCAGACGCTGGATGGTGGCAGGGCCAGAAATAGCCAGGATCATTGCAGAGTTTGAAGAGCAGGCGACAAGAGGACCTGGCGGTGCTCACGACACTGGGCATCTTCACCATGACCAGAAACCTGGAGTGCAAGTGTAATGCAGAAATGTCGCACCGTGGGAACGCGGCGAATACCACCGTTCAGGGACGTGCAACAGATTGCGCACGACATATTTAGAACAAACGGCCTGTTCTCACGGCACGGCGACAGCCGCGCCCTGACCCTAGAACAGCGCCGAAGGCATCAAACGGGCAATCAGTAAGCGAGTTTTATGACAGTCCGAGAACTGGTCAAGGAGGCATCGAACTCCAAACAATGAATCGTCCGGCCCCAGCCGTCCTTGCAACCACTAGCCAGGCCATAAATCAGGAAAACCAGTAGAACGCGGGGCATGCGTTCACAGCTTAAAAGAGAGCAGTTTTAGAGAAACGGGAGAGACCCCGCCTAGGAGTTGGTATGTGTACACTGTCACTGTTCGTGTTTAGAATAAAGCTATAAGTCGTTTACCGTTTACATCATCGTTACGTCTACTATCTACGAGCTACTGTCTACGAACGTACATTCAACGCTACACAAGAAGCTTTTATAAAGGCTGTCAGAGCACTTATAGCAGTGTTTGAAGAGATGGGGAATCCCTTCCTAGGGAACACTCAAGATCTACTGGTCCTTGACACGAGAGACAATGGACACCCCAGTGGCAGAAACTGTGAGTCACTTGGTGAGGAGCAGTACACAAAGTTTGTGGAAGAAAAACTGGAACTATGTACGAAGCCAGTTACAGAAACACTGCCCAAGAACAAGTCGCCACTCTTCAGTCGGCCACAGACCATAAAGACTCAATCAAAGCAGCAGATCCAACTCGCCGCAGTGAAGAGTGACTGTAGTCTCTTCTCGAGGCTGTATATTGCCTGTCAATCACGTGATGGGGATCTGGACCAGTTCTTCTGCCACGAGAACCAGGCAGCCCAACCAGCATTACCAACAGGAGGAAAACTGCGCCTTGGAGTCAAAGCAGATCTACTACACTGCCTGAAATCGGACCAACCCGAAACCACAAGCACACCTGGGGTTGATGCCACAATCCTTGACGGGGCAGCTATTGTTCAAATGCTCAATCCTGTAACGGCAAAGACCTTTGAAGAGTATGTGAACACAGTCTTTGCACCTTACATCTCCACTCAACTCGAAAA